GGGGGCCCCTGCCACGTGCCTGGGGCTCCATCTCAGGAGGCGCCCCAGCCCCTTGCACCACCCAAGCTCCCAGGGGGTGTGGACGGTACTAGATGAGGGGGCCCCTCGCCCACAAGCCCTAGACATGCCGCAGTCCACCCTGCCTGTCCCCGCTGAGGGCCGTGAGGGCGAGAGCCGGACGCAGAGGCCAGGAGAGGCCCGTGTGCTCACCTGCCCCGCCCTGCCCCAGCAGGCCCTCCCAGGTCACATGGCCCAGGGACGGTGACCAGGGCACTCGGACCCCAGGTGCCACGCACCTTGCTGAGAGCCGTGCCCCCGGGATGCCAGCCCACTGCCCTGATGGCGCCACCCGCAGGCAGGCCCGGCACTGTGCCCATGGCCGGGAGCCAGGGCCCAGCGGGAGGCCTCGAGCACCCTCGTACACGCCAGTCCGGGACTTCCAGAGCAGTGATTTCCCACAGCACATGCCCCTGGAGGCCCGGAGCAGCCTGGGAGCCAAGGCCAGTGCAGACGGGAAGGGAGCGAGCCGCCCCACGGGGCAGTGGCACAGGGGGCTCCGACCTGCACCCCCTCCCACGCTGGCTGCAGGCCCGGGCGCTCAGCGTTACCGCGGAGGGCGGCAGAGACCGGCCCCGGAACCTGGTGTCTGAGCCCACCCTGCCCACCAGGGGCCCGTTCCTTTTTAATTTTAATACAGATTTCTGCCAGAGTACAAATACCCACAGGAGACACAGAACGAGGGAGCGGGGAGATCTCCGCGGCCACCCTGGGCCTTCTCCACTCTCCTCAGGCATGCGCACACGCGTCCCGAGTGGTTTTCAAGCTGCCAGGGCTAGGACCCCCTCCCTGCAGTTGGCCCTGTGGGATCACCACCTCCAGGCCACTGCAGGCCCCATTGGGACCTCTAGACCCAGTCAGCCCTTGAGGGGCTGCGCCTGCCCTCGCAAGAACCGTTCTTGGGTGGGAGAGCCCAAGCACTTTAATCATTCCATCAGAATAGCCCTGGGGCCCAGCCCAGGTCCCGGCTCTGCACACACATTCCCCCACCCACCCCACCAGGAGCCCCGGAGGGGCCGGGCCGGGGACCTGTGACAGCAGTGCCCTGCTCAGAGACAGGCTGGCTCCGCGTCCCGGCGCGGCCCTCAGTGCTGTGTCAGGCACTCAGAGGCGTCTTCCAGAGTCAGGTTGGCCAGGTGCTGGGGCTCCAGACACGTGAAGCTCGGAGAGTTCAGGCTGCGGGACACAGGGATCCCCTTTGCCCTCCGGCCTACCTCGCTCTCCCTTGCCCTCCCCAGCAGGTCTCTGCAGGGGCCGGGCCCCAGGAGTACCGGCGGGGACACCCCACAATGCTAACCCTGCCTGGGGGCCGAGGTGCCCAAGGGAAACACTGCAGGCCTGGTCTGGTCGGGGTGCCTCCCTCGCCCCCAAGCCGGCCCGTCCCGAAGCCCCAGCACTCACAAGGCCGGCGTGGTTCTGCATCCAGGCAGGAGGAGCAGCAGCAGCAGAGGGTGTTTGGAAACAACCAGGAGCCATTGCAGAGGCACCCCCGGCAGTGCCCGGGCACAGAGTGGACCTGTGGTGCCCCTGCCAGCCCAGAGGACCCGCCTCCCCACCCCGGAGCCCAGGCCAGGGTGCCTACCTTGTGTTGGCGTCTTCTCTGAAAGGAACAGGGTCCCAGTTAGACCCCAGGGGAGGTGCAGGGCTAGGAAACCAGGGGACCCTTTGCGTGATCTGCCCGCCCGTCCGGCCGAGCTCCCAGGCCCTCGAGGAGGGGCAGCGGGCCTGCACACTCACCACGCGGGCACCGCACCCGCACACGGCTGGGTCCCACCTGTGCTGCCATCGGGGAGGGGGACTTACTTGTGCCACTTATTTCTGCAACAGTGGTTTGGAGTTGGGGGCCACATGACTGTCACTGTCCCCTCCCCAAGCCGAGGGCCCAGCCTGAAGACCCCGACTCACATGTACGTGAGGAGGCCCTGCACGGCCTTCTCCCACTGTGCCGACGACCTGTGGGGACAAGCTCGGATGTGGTGGGCCCCACCCAAGGCCCCCTGCCCAGGTGGGAAAGGCCCGGAGGAGGAACCCCTCCGGGGACGGGGACACCGGCAGGACCCTGAGCCCTGCTGGCAGTTGTAGCCAAAGCAGACGACGTGCGAGTTCGTGCAGTTGCTGCAGGAGATGGTCCCGTACTGGAAGATGCCTGCAACGGGACAGGCAGCCGCCAGCTCCCGCGCCCTCCGCCCCGAACCGCTGTCCGCCCCTCGGCCTGGACGGAGGCCAGCTTACCACAGTGACGCTGACAGTCGATGCGGCCTGTGGGAAGACAGGACACACTCGTGCACCCAGCCTCGTCCCCCGCCTTCCCGAAGCCTTGCCCAAAGGCTTAGACGGTCCCTTAGCCACAGGACCCAGGGAAGGGGTTACCTCGAGGTAACCCCTAGAGCGGGCTGGAGCAGGCCTTGTGGGAGGGTGGCTGCAGCACGCAGCCTCCGAGGGGACTGCTTCGAGTGGGTGCCAGGAAGGTGGCCCGTGGGATGAAAAGGGACTTGCTCTGCAAACTGCCCTGCTCCCTGCTTTCCGTCCCATGCTGGGTGGCTTCTTCATATCGCTGCACCCTCAGCCGCCCCCTGGCCAGGGGCCCCCAACCCTGAAGAGTCGCCCTCCCACTGGGAAAGCAGGCCCCAGGCTGCTCCCGCGCAGGCTCACTTTCGATGATGGCGTTCTGGATGAGGTGCACCTGCTCCCGGAATATGGCCCGCAGCTCGTTGGGGAAGTACCCTGAGGCAGGAGGGTCAGGCTCAGGCGGTGTCCCGAGGGCGAGGGACTGCCCGACCCCTCTGAGGGCGCTGCCCGTGCCCTCCCTTACCCGGGAAGTACATCTTCCCCTGGTACAGCCGATCCAACCGCTGGTACACAGCCGACGCCACGAGGTCAAGCTTCTCCCGGGCTGGGGACGGCAGGGGGCGGGTGAGCGGCCGGCCCGTCTCGCTCCCACCCTGCTGGGCTTGGGCACTCACTGATCTCCGCAGGAATGGCCAGGTGCAGCTCCTTCATCGTATCCTTGCTCCAGTCGTCGAGCAGCGACCCCGACACGGGGATGTCGCCCACCCACCAGGACTTGAGGTTCACGTGGTGGCGGTAGAAGGAGAACTTATCAGCGAAACTATCGTGGCAGTGCAGGCAGCCGCGGGCCAGCGCCGCAGTCATGCCCAGGCAGAGCAGCAGGGCCCTGGCCCGCCCGCCGCCGGCCGCCGGGCAACCCACAGCGCCCCCTCGGCCC